CCAGCTGTTGACTAAACATCCATTTGTTCACTAAACATCCAGCTGTTGACTAAACATTCAGCTGTTCACTAAACATCCAGCTGTTTTCTAAACATCCAGCTGTTGACTAAACATCCATTTGTTCACTAAACATCCAGCTGTTGACTAAACATTCAGCTGTTGACTAAACATCCAGCTGTTGACTAAACATCCAGCTGTTGACTAAACATCCAGCTGTTGACTAAACATCCAGTTGTTCACTAAACATCCAGCTGTTGACTAAACTTCCAGCTGTTGACTAAACATCCAGCTGTTCACTAAACATCCAGCTGTTGACTAAACTTCCAGCTGTTGACTAAACTTCCAGCTGTTCACTAAACATCCAGCTGTTGACTAAACTTCCAGCTGTTCACTAAACATCCAGCTGTTGACTAAACTTCCAGCTGTTCACCAAACATCCAGCTGTTCACCAAACATCCAGCTGTTGACTAAACATCCAGCTGTTCTTGTCACATTCTGACAGTAAATCTCAGCATACAGAAACCTGGAACCTCTGAGCTGATACAATCAGATTCATTCTTATTCTTTTGGTTTTTTTAAATATATGCACGATCAGTGTCATTTCCAGACATTTTCTGGAGCTCAACATCCCAGAATAAACACAGGTTTGATCAAGAAATATCTGAAATGATCCTGTTAAGAGGAGAAAAACAAAATGAGCCTTAATCTGTGACAAACCTTCATCATCTGCAGTGACGTTACAAATCGTCATAAAGTGGCGCCGGCCGTCGGTCCGAAAGGTATATTTGAGGCTTTCTTTGAGTTCCTGTGAGTCTTTGTACCACGTGACAGAGGCATTGTCAAAGGACAACTCACACTCGAAGGTGGCAGATTGGCATTTGTTGACTTCGATGCTTCGGATGCTTTTAGTGAACTGAATTTGGTCGGCTAAAACCAGAAAATCAGAGTTCAATGTTTAACTTTAGGTTAGTTTGAGCAGCAGATTTTTTCTGACCAGATGGGACTAGAGAAGGGTTCAGATTCCTGTTGGAGTGTTATATGGTTAGAAATAACTGAACWGGAAGGGAGGAGGCCTGTTTTACTGGTGCTAGACATGTCAGCAGTTCTAAAACAGAAGAGACACAACAGGACACAAAGACAACAGAGTCCAGGGAAGAAAACAGGAAATGCTCAGACTCCTACCAGTGATGGTGAGCTTGGCATTGGAGATGTGAGGACCACAGACCACACGGTAGTTGCCCTGATCTTTGACCTGGCACTTCTTAATCTTCAGATAATGGCGGTCACCCACGCTGCTGATGTCATACTTGTCACTGTTGTCCAGTTTCTGTGTGCCCTTGTACCAGCTCAGAGTGATCTCGGGGTAGTTGATTCTGATCTGACATTCGAACATGGCCGTCTGGTTCTCTGCAATAGTCTGGTCCTTAATGTCCTCCATCACAGAGACAGGCTGTGGACAAAAGAAATCATTTGAACATTTCCTCATGTCCAAGTACTTTGGTGCAGGGTGCCAGGTGAGCGGTTTACCTCAGCAGCAACACGTCCCTCCAGCTGCTCGATGAGCTTGGCCATGTCCTCTTCTTCAACACGACCACCGTGCTCGACACCCTGCAGTGGGACAGATGGATGGTAGTTACAGACTACATCCTACTTAAATACAGTAAACAGCAACAAACTACAATGTTATGACCAATAAATTAGGAGCTTTATTGCAGTTTTAGGTTGTTGACAAAAAACACTTCACTTATATTTCTGCCCATCAGAAACCKGAGAGAACCTCATTTGTAGATCTGTCCTCAACATGAACTGAACTCAACCTGAAATCTTGATACCAGCCTTAAAAGTCCTTCAAGGTTCAGTTTTGGGGTCAATGGAGTCCTATATTTTAAAACGGTATGTCTCAACCTTTGCTGCAAAATTGACTCTTAAAGGTAACTTCTTCAAAAATTAAACTTTTTATGTTCTCCTAAGTTAAAACCCAGATTTGGATTTTGTTTAAATGGTCTTTCTCTTCCTTTAATTCATTTCTTGTCCTGATTTCAGAGCCCAGAAATATCTCTTTAAGGAATTCAAACCAGAATCAAGCAGAAACCATCGCTGTGATGAGATTGGATTTTTCTTGTACCACTTTTCCAGTTTCCATCTCCTTCTCCTTTTTGAGGAACTCCACAGCCTGCAGGATTGCTCTGAAGTCAGTGATTCCATGTTCCCGCAGAATCCTTTCATATTCYTTAGGCTCATGACCTCTGAGCAGATCTACAATACTGATCTCTTCAACTTTCTTGGGACTTTTTTGTTTGGAAGGAGTCCTGAAAGACATGAAGATGTGCATGAAGACATTTGTTCTCTTTAACATAAAAGTGTTCACTGTTTATTAGTAAATAAAGAAATGTTACTTTTTGAGTCTAGTTCTTATGTCTCCAAATCCTTCCACTTCTTCCTTTTTGGTGACTTCCATTTCAGCACCACATTCGATCTCTCCATGTTTGTTTGAGGCCACACATCTGTAGAGACCAGAGTCCGACTTGGTCACCTCTCTGATCTCCAGTTTGGCATCTTGTCCTTTGTGCTCAATGGAGATACGACCACCGGGAGTGACCTGTCTCCACTTGCCCTTCATCCACTTCACACTGGGGATTGGATCTCCTCCAATCTTGGCAATGAAGGTTGCAATGCCCTCTGAAAAGGAGACAGACCGGACAATAAAGGTCAAGATATCTTGTAATAAAAAGTTTTCAGTATAAGACGAGGGACGGGCTTACTCTCTGTGACAGAAATGTTTTGGGGTTCCTCGATGAAAAACAAGTTGTCAAGTCTTTTGACAGGAGTGGCTGCAGCCTGAGGAGCAGCTTCAGAAGGGGCTTCCTTTACTCCTGTGTCTGAAAATACAGTGTGAGGGTGAGGRAAGCCAGACCCAGACCAATACAGCTCATAGTTGTAGTTGCTGATCAGTATGAACACTGAAATCACTAAGTGTTTGGTCGGAGAAAAGAGTTTTCACGCCGACGTTCTGGTAGAGTACTGTACAGTAATCTGGTTACCTTTTACAGATTAATCTGGTTACCTTTTATAGTGACTTTGGATTTGCAGAAGTCACTGCCAGAAGCATTGCTGGCCTTGCACAGATAATCTCCTGCATCCATCTTTGACACAGAACTGATCTCCAGGGTGGCTGTCCCACCAACAAACGTGACTTTGGTGTTGTCACTGGACTTCAGCTCTCTTCTGTCCTTCATCCACTGGATGCTAAGAGGTGCAGTGCCTCTCACGTGGCATTTGAGGCTCATCTTCTGGCCCTCAGTTACCGTCACTGGTTCCAGAGGAACATCAAATTTGGGAGCCTGAGCAGTTTCTGAAAAGTTAATGGCAAAAGATAGGACTTCACATAATGGTTTTCAGGTAATGTCATGATACAYTGTTCAGTCATTTATTCTTTATTTAATGAACTGAAATGAATAATACTTAAGTAATGTCTTTAATAATGTTTAGTTGGATATTATTTAACTGCTTTAAGTCTCTAACAGATGAAGTTCAAACTTAGTAAGAACTGGGTCAGTCTGAAATAGTCTAGAAGATTAATCTAAAACTCAACAGATTTTTCCATAAAAACTCAACAGAAACATGAGGCCCAACTGGTTTCAGAGAACTAATGGACACATTCTTACCTGAAAGCATAAGAGAAACCTGACACGAAGCTTTGCCTGCTTCATTGGAAACCTCGCAGGTGTACAGACCACTGTCTGAAACGATGGAGTCTTTGACACACAGAACAGCTACGTTGTTCTTCAAACTGATGTTATATTTGTCAGAGGCAGAGATCTTCTGCTCGTCCTTGTACCAGGTGATGATCAGTGGCTGGGAGCCTGACACCCGAGCCTCTACCTTTACTACCTTACCAGTTGACTCCACCATGGTCTCGGGAGGTCTCTTGGTGAAGTTTGGAGGAACTTTTCGTTCTGTTGGTGGAAGAGAAAATGAAAATAATTTTACTGTACATTCATGTGAGAATCCTCCACCAAGGCCTCTGGGCCTTTACCAAAACTTTAGGAAGAACACCACACATAACTTGTGGCACAAACTTTAAAAAATACAGGATATAACTACTTCCTACCAATCAACCATATTTGACCAAAACTCTGTGACAACTTGCTTTGTTTCCCATCAGGCACAGAACCAGTCATCCTATAACCAATGTCAAACACCAACCAGGGCTTTTCACAATGTAAAGTAYCTCTATGTTACGAACAAGCTTACAGAAATGCCAGGGTGTACATCAGCACTGGTTATTGGAAATGATGATGAAGATGACGAGGAGACATGGTTCATGGGATGATGTGTCTCTGCATTAGAAATTTCATCCGTGTGTTTCCCAGCAGCAGATCTGTCATTGTTGAGGACCTCCAAAACCCAAGAGGTCTTGGTAGATTTGGTGTTGTACAGGTAAGAAGCTTGTCATTCTTCTTCCATCTCACGTGGACTGCTTGACTTCCAACATATGTGCACTCAAACCTCAAAGGTTGGCCGAGTTCAGGAGTGACATCTTCTAGTTTTTTGACAAACTATGTGTGTTTTGAGAGAAATGTTGTTGACATCAGTCTGAAATACCCCTAATGTTAAACACTACAGTGTGTGACTATGCTGTACTTAAAAGAATATGAATATCTTTCATGTCTAAGAAGAAGTAGCTTCATCTGAGCATGAATTAAGGTTGATTAACTGTCATGGCCATCTTCAGTCAGGCTAACTCTAAAAGTTATCATTTGTAGGGGCATCCAATAATTACTCTCCAGGTTTCATTGAAATCTATCCAGTGGTTCATGACAAATAATACACATTCACACACACGATATTCCAGGAGGTGCTGAGGAGGTTCTAGGATTTAATTAAATTACTTTGCAAACATAACGTAACACCTGAACACCACAGTGATGGATGAAAGATGAAGACAGGACTGCACGCTGTGAAAGATGACTCAAACAAAGAAGATGGGAAGAACAAAGAAATGAAGACAGAGGAAGAGTGGTAAGAAAGAAAAATGATGGTAATATTTAGCAATGATGTGGATGAAAGAATAAGAGTCCAACCTTTCACCACCAACTCTGCCGAAGTTTTCACTGTTCCTGCTTCGTTGGAAACTTGGCAAGAATAAACTCCACTTTGTAGAGCCTGAACTGTGATGAGCTCTACAGAAGAAGAATTCGTCTTCAGACTTATTGCACATGATGCTCCAGCAACAAGTTCGATGTCATCCTTGAACCATTTAACCGTGAAAGGAGGAGTTCCTTCAAAGACAACTCTGAAGACCACGTCAGAGTTTGGAGGAACATTCTGAGGCTGAAGGTCAGCTGAAAACTTTGGTGCCACTAAAATTCATGCAGAAAAAAGTGATGATACATGATCATAAGCTTCTTATTTAAACATCTGACAAAGTCTGAACGCTAACCTTTAGCTGTAAGAACACCACTGCAGACACAGCTGCCGGCTTCATTTGTAACTTTACAGGAATACGCTCCTGTATCACCACTTTCACTCAGCTTTAACTGCAGTGAAACTCTTCTTCCAGTTTGAACAAGTTTGTACTTTGGTCCCTCACTGACAATTTGTTTGCCTTTATACCATTCAGTGAAGAATGGAAGAGAACCGTCCACTTTGCACTCCATTATGACCTGTGAACCCATCACAGCTTGGATATTTGTTAGTTCCTTAATGAATGTAGGAGGAACCACCTTTTCTGTTTAAAAAAATGAAGTTATGATTAGATAATTATTTACCAAGATTTAAAAAAAACATTTTTCAAACCCCAAACAAGACGTAAAGCTACATGACCCAACTTCTTTTATTTGAAAGAAGACTGAATGTTAGGATGCTGTGGTCCCTTTCATTGATGATCTGTTTTCTTTTTGATTGGAGCTGTTGGAAATGAAACTTCCCTGAGGAGTTTCAGGACCCCTAAACTAAAAACTAATCAGAAAACATGAAGTCATTTTGACCATCTCTGGCTTCCTTAGGACCACTGATTGTTTTACAGCAATAACATGAGTATAGAAACAGCTTTACATTTACTGTTAAAGCAGAAGAAAATAGATGAAAAAGCCTCCTTTATAACTGAGTTGTCATGTGACAAAGAGGATTCCTGAGAGATGTACTGTTTGATAACCAACACAACCTCACTTGAAACTACACACTGGTCAGTCCAACATCTATAGTCTGCAGGCCTTGATGCTCAAAGCCACATTTTCATCATCAAGAATTATCTTTCTATAACTTTATACTAACTTTACATAAAATATTTCCCATCATTAAAATTCAAAGATGGCAGTAAAAAACATTTATGCTCAAACCAATGTGTTAATGAAGCTTGAAACGGGACATAAAAGAAACAGTAGTTAAGACACAAGGAACACACAGGTGACAAACCTGTAACTGTGAGAACAGTGGCACATCTCTGAGTCCCAGCTCTGTTCTGAGCCTCACAAACATATTTCCCAGTATGTGACAATTGAGCATTTGTCAAATTCAGCTCAGCATTGTTGGTTTCATAGGTCATTTTAACATGCTCATCTTCTCTGAGCTCATGATCATCCTTGGTCCAGCTGACAGTCATAGGAAGTGATCCAGACAACAGACACTTCATAGAGATATCAGAGCCCACAATGCAGGACATGTCCTGTGGTCTTTGAACAAATGATGGTGGTTCTAGTGGAAAAAGACCACAAATAAGACTGCAATGTCCACAATAGAAATGTCTCTGTTTTCCAGATCTGACCATCTGTTGACAATCTCAGTAATTATTTGGGGTCAGAAAATATATATTAAAGAAAATATGATGCATGAAAACACTGCTTTGTGTAAAACCAAAAATGTACCTGAAATTTAATTAAACAAAAAATCAATGTGAAAATGAACAGCATTCAACAGGAATCTTGGCTGAAGTTAGGGAGGGGAACAGAAACTACTTGAGTTAGGTTAGTGTTAGGAACAGGAAGGTTTGGGTGAGGAACAAAAAATACTTAACTGACCTTTCAAAGAAATCTGGCAAGAACAAGAATCCTCCCCGACATCATTTGCAACAGTGCAGCGATAAGTTCCAGCATCCCTGCTGTCACAGTCTGAGACCTGAACAGTCACTGTGTCTTTATCCACACTGACTTTATGTTTGTTGCCACTTCTGATCAGTTTCTCATTGAAGAAACAACTTATTTCAAAAGGAGGGGAGCCTGCAATCGTTCCTTCCAGGATAATGTTTGATCCTTTCACAAGCTCAGCTGATTCAAAAGGCCTCACAATCACTGGAGGCTCTATAAGACAGATGATAAAATCAGTTTTAAAGTCACCGCTTGTTGTTCCATGAGTCTACACTTGATGTCAAACCCTGTGGGTAAAGACCTCCTGAGATTGAACTAACCTTTCACAGTTACTGAGCAGCTGCACTGGTCTCTGCCGGCCTCACTGGATGCCAAACACACAAACTCTCCACTGTCCTCTACACAAGAGGGTTCTACCAGCAGAGAAGCTACTGACCCATCAAAGGACATGGAGTATCTGTGGTCAGCACTGATTTCACACTCATTTTTAAACCATCTGATGGAAATAACAGGAGTTCCCTGAACTTTGCATGACAGYTTCAGAGGCTGTCCAGCTTTGAGCTGTCGTGAAGGCTCAAACTTCATGGTAAATTTGGGGGCTTCTGTAAACCAACAAGAACATTTACAGTGAAGACAAGTCATGCACAGAAAGAAGAGTTTTGTAGATGAATGATCAGCAGCACCTTTCACGAAGAGGACGGCGGTACAGTCCACTTTCCCAGCATCGTTGGAAACTTGGCAGGTATACTTAGCAGAGTCAGTGGGTTTCACTGAATGAAGCTCCAAAGAGCTTGAAGAGGTGTCTTTTTTAATGAAACACTTTCCTCCAGTAAAAATCTCTTTCTCCTCTCTAAACCATTTAACAACCAGTGGAGGTGATCCAGTAAAGGAGGCTGTGATCACAACATTCGATCCTGGAGAAACATTCTGAGACTCTGGTTTCACTTTAAACTCTGGGCGTTCTGGAAGAAACAACATGCATGTTGAAGATCCATCTGTAATGTGCTCATCTTTGTAAAATGTTTGATTGATTCAAAGCTTTTAAACGTCTCTAACCTTTGACTGTCAATGTTCCACTGGTCTCATTTTGTCCAGCCTCGTTAGAAGCACGACATGTAAAAACTCCTCCATCAACTGTATCCAGGCTTCTTATCGTCACAGAGGCTGCACTTTCACTGAAATCCAGTTGATATTTAGCATCACTGTGGATCTCTTTATTGTCTTTGAACCAAGAAACGACCATTGGCTGAGACCCAACAACTCTGCACTCCAAGGTAACGTCACTACCAACACTTCCATCTATCGTTTTTAGAGTTTTAGTAAAAGATGGTGGAACTGCACGATCTGTGTGGGGAAATAAACCAATGGCAGAACTGTCACCAAAGGCCAAATTTAAAATGACAGTAATGATCACTGTTTGTTACCAACCTATAACAGTCACTGAGCATGTGCACTCATCTTTTCCCACTTTATTGGACACCTCCATCTTGTATTCTGAACTGTCTCCTCTTTCTGCAGAGAGAATCTTTAGAACCGCAGTATTCTCCTTCACTGACATCTTATATTTACGCCCACTGATCATCTCTTTGCCGTCTTTGAACCATTTTACTTTGAGTTCAGGGCTTCCAGAAATGGTGCACTCCAATGTGGCCATGTCACCAGCCGTGACGCTGATAGACGCTGCTTTCTCTAGGATCTTAGCTGGTTCTAAAATACAACACAAGCTTTAGAGTTTAATAACTACCAGATAAATGGAGAGAAAAGGATTTCTGATGAATATTTCTAACCTTGAATGGTGAGAACAGCCTCACATTTCTGCTGCCCTGCATCGTTTACAGCAAGGCAGGTGTATTTACCGCCATGTTTAATCTCAGGAGAAGAGAAGGAAATACTCGCAACATTATTCTCAAATGACATTGTGACTGTTGGATCATCATCTCTCAAAAGCTCAGAGTCTTTCATCCATTTGACAGAGATAGGAGCTGAGCCTTTCAGGGTTCCCTGAAGTTTCACTCCAGTTCCCAAAACTGCTGAAGCACTTTCAACTCTCTTTGAGAAAATGGGTGGCTCTGAAATAAGAGTGTTAGTCATGATGATGTCACAACATCCTAAACTCTTAGTGAGAGTTGATCCAGTTTCTGATCTACTAACCTTTCTGTTTAACTGATGACCTGGAGGTCACAGACCCGACCTCATTTGAAACGACACATTCATATTCACCAGAGTCAGCGCTCTCAAACCTGTGGATCTCCAGAGAGGTCAGCGATCCCTGGGACACTATTCTGTACTTTTTATCTGTGGACAGGCGTTTCTTATCCTTTTTCCAAGTCACATCAAACGGTGCAGAACCTGCAATCTCACACTCCAGCACAGCTACTGATCCCCTCACTGCGTCTATCCACGGTACGTCCTTTTTAAAGTGTGGGGGTTCTAATGGGGAAAAATGATGTTAGAAAAAGAATCATATGGGAAAAATGTTTTTTTAAAGGACCAAAGTTGGTGCACCTTTAACGATTACTTTAGTGCTGCAGCTCTCACAGCCAGACTCATTGAGGACCTCACAGCTGTAGTTTCCTCCATCACTCAAAGTGACATCCCTTATCTCAAGAGCAGCAACACCATCCTTAGAACTGGCTGTGTACCTGCCAGCAGCAGGCAGCTCACTGTTATTGAAGAACCAGGTAAAGTGAAGCTCAGGGGATCCTTTTACAGTGCACTGCAGCCGTGCTGTGCTGCCCTGCTTCCAAACCGTTGTTGCTTCCAGTCTCTTTACAAAGACTGGTGGTTCTGCAGAGGTACGATTGGTCAGAGCCATTATTAAAGACATCAATCAAAATATGTCCGCATTTAAAAAGAAATATTTCAKTAGTTAGGATGAGAAAGACAAGAGTATGTATTGAAAACATTTGTTTTTAATGCTGCAGTTTTGATTCAAACACTTCAGAATGTCTTAAAGATGACCTTACCTTGTACCTTCACTGAAGTGGAGCATGATGCACTTCCAGCTTCATTTGTAACTGTGCACACATAATTTCCACAATCTTTCAGTGTGGTTTTTAGGATATCAAGATTTACTGTCTTATTCTCAAAAGACAGTTTACAGTCTGGAGACTGGTGGACTTTTCTACCATCTCTGGTCCAGGTCACAGTTACTCCAGTATCCTCATTCACCTGACAGTCCAGGTGCAGAGGAGCTCCGACCACGGCAACAACCKGACCCAGGGGCTTTACAAAGTTGGGCTTATCAATAACTCGCAGCTCCATGCTGCACTCAGCCGTCCCAACATCATTAGATGCCCTGCACACATACAGCCCCTGGTCCGCTGCCTCCAGCTGAAGAATCTCAAGAGTGTGCTTATTCTTTTCACAAGAGGTCTGATAGTGTGCAGGCACTGAGGGCAACACCTGGTGGTCTTTGAGCCACACGACACTCAGAGGAGCAGATCCTGTTATTACACACTGTATCAGTGCCCTCTTTCCAACATACACAGTCTGAGTGTCAGGTTTACTTAGAAAAGCTGGAGGGAATTTTTCTATAAAGATTAAGAAAAAACAAAGACATTAGTGGTAAAAAGGYAGACTCTAGTAGCACTTTAACCAAATCCTGCCACTTACACAACAACAAACCATGAGGGCGTGAAAGTATTAATCAAATATTTGCAATGAAGCAAACCAAACTAAAACAGAGTCTAATGAATGAAAAACAAAGATGAAGCCCTGAGGGAATAAACATCTGAAACAGCTCAGAGTCAACCAGCTGCAAAGACACAAACAGGTGTTGCTCTTACCTGTCACAGTCAGAGAGGCGGAGCATTCATCACTGCCGTGCTGATTGGACGCCTTGCAGGTGTATTCGCCGCTGTCATCTTTAGCTGGGCTCAGAACTTCCAGAGAGGAAGCAGTGAAGCGACTGATTATCCTGTATTTATCCCCTTCTTTGATGGGGTGTCCATCTTTGAACCACTTGAAGTTCACGTTTGGAGCCTCCGCAGTGTCGCATTCAAACCGGGCTTGGTTACCAACATTGATCTCCAGTGGAGCAAGTTTGTGTTTGAACACAGGCTTCACTGTTACTGAAGAGAAAGACAAAAAGATGGGGTGAATACAGAGAAGCAGCTGGGAACAGGGTGTACAGTTTCTACTGCATGTGGTGATGGAGTGGTCCTGGGATGAAGAGTGACTCAAACAATCTTATCCAGTGATGACTGTGAAGGAGGAAACTGTTAGGTCAAGGCATGCATGGAAAACATGGAGGATGAGAAAGAACAGATGCTGAAAGTCATGAAGAATGATTTATTGGAAGGAAACTGGGATGAACATGAGGATGGTGTGTTTGAGGAGGGATTTAGATGATCTATTAAGAAAAGTGGCGATGTCTCGGATTAAAACCTCAAACTACAAAATGTATTTTTGCAAATAAAAATCCAGAAGAAACATTTTGTTTCTTCAGTCTTTAAACTGCAATTAGTTTGAGGTTTGGAGACAACAGAGTTTTGAATAAAACAAAACAGTGTGTGAAGTTAGTTGATGATGAAATCAAAGAACTGTCCATCATCAAACCTGGTGTGACCACAGTCAGTCTTGAAGAYGTTGTAGTCCTGCCAGCTTCATTCTCAGCTTCACAGACATACTCTCCTTGATGCCTCTCCTTGGAAACTTTGTTGATAACTAGTGTGTACGTGTTGTTGTCTGTTGAACACTTGAACTCTTTGCCAGACTGCACTAGCTGACCATTGAAAAACCAGTTCACCTTTGTAACATGCTTAATAGTGGTGGTAAAGACAGCCTGCTGGTTATTTTCAGCACAAACATCCTGCAGTGCCTCAGTGACAACAGGAACATCAATCAGACTATCAGAGGACTCACTGATCAGGATGGCCTCTGAAAGATACTCTTCCCTGGCTTCTCTGTGGACAAACCCACCCACCTGTTGTTTGACAAGAACCTGGTCTACAGACTTTGTGCTGGTTACTTCAGCAGCAGAGACATCAATCCCTGACCTGATCTTTGTTTGACTCACAAGCACAGATTTGCTGGTCTCAGTCTGACTCTGATCTGTTGCTCTAGAGAAGGAAGCACTAGCTTCAGTTCTGACAACTGCAGACTGAGATATCTCTGCAGCAAATCCAGCTACAGTCTCTGCCACCGTCACAGAGTCCACCACAGATGACAACATCTCTTTGGAGGGTACTGAGCTGACATGAATCTTCTGAGACCTTTCAGTCTGCAGTATGCCAAGCTCTTCTGATGCGAGACTTTGCTGCTCCTGGAAAACCATAGCTTTCAGAGCTACCTGCAGTTCAGACCTGAGGTCAGCAGTTTGAGGATATTCCCCATCAAATGATAGAGTAACCTCCATTGGGACACCAGGTGATGTGATCAGATATGTATATGTGGTCCTTCTGGCCTCTCTCAGGACCGTGACTTCCTGAACTTCCACCTCCTCTAACCTTCCTACGACTTCCGCCAGTAAAAGGGGATGATCAGTGGCCACAGCAGACTGAAGGGCATGTCGGAGCTGACACTGGATGTTCCTCCTGGTTGGGTTAGGGATGTTAACAACAAAATGAAGTTCTTTAGGGAGAGAAGGAGAATCCTGAGACTCATGGACATAAACAACCTGTTTAGGTTGGGTGCTAACACTGACACATGAACCCTCAGATTTATACATTTCTCTTGATTGCTCTCCCATAATGATGTGTTTCTCTTCCAGTAGTACTGATTGTCGGACTGACTGTCCTTCTTGTATTTGAACCGCAAAATCCTCCTCAGCAGCTTCTAAGATGGTACAGCTTTCAGTCGCTGCTGCCTTTTCTTCTATGAAAACAGGCTTCTTAAGAATCTTAGCTTCGGTTTTGATTATGGGCTTGAATTTTTCATCAACAACAAGATTAGTGGTGTGACCCTCGTCTAGAGTCTGAGTGTCTGTGACATTTACGGACTGCATGATATTCCAGTAGTGTTCTCTCTGCACCAATGCTCTCTGCAGCTTATAATCTGTAACAAAAGGTATCTCCTTGGGCAGCTGTAGAGGCTGGGAGGACATGCTGAGGATGTTTGGAGGCCTGGGTTCTGTTTGAAGTTGTAGCTTAATCCCATCTACAGACAGGTCAATATGTTTGTGATAATCTGCAGAGATCTCCCTCCTCATCTCTGAGGTAGCTGCATGGCTTCTGGCCTTTTCCAGTTTCATCACTGCCTCCTGTTGGTCAGGTTTTGTGATGGTAAGTATTCCCTCTTTGGGTAAAACCAATCTAGAATCGACTGACTGAAGGTATTTTGGTTGAGGTAGCTCCTTCTTTGGCTGAATGGAGGTATAGTCAACCTTTGCTGAAAGCTCTGAAGTTCCCTCACATATCACAGTCCTCTGCTCTTCTTGGGTCACTGAATGCAACAGAGTCGGGCTAGTCCTCACTTCTGCCTGCTCTGTGGAGGGTTTGTTACCACTGAGCATCCCCTCAGACTGTAAAACATCCTGATCACTAATAACCTGCAGGTTTAGGACTTGCTGAAGTTCACACAGGGGCTGCAGACTCACTGGAGGTTCTAGAGGTGCCACCTGTCCTGTTTGTTCAGCCTGAAGTTGGTATTTCTCTTCACAGGTTGTAACTGATTTACACATCTTTCCTTTGATTGCTCTGATTGTTTGCTCTGTTGGCCTTTGTGTTTCAAAGGTCTGCTCTTTAGATAAAGTCAGTCTAGTTTCACTTACAGGTGCTAACATTAGCTTAGGTTGCTCATTTTCAATTGAAGGTGTAATGGCTGTGTCTAAAGGTGGCAGAGGCTCAGAGTGAGCTTCTGAGAGCAGCAGCTGTCCTGCCGATTGAGCTGAGTATAAAATCTTCACCCCCTCTTTGACTCTGAAACCCCTCTCTTCCTCTGGTCTGTGTAGAACACCTGAGGGTTCGTTCAGAACAGATACAGCAGATTCTACCTGGTGGCTGCTGACGAGATGCCTGGGCTCAGTAGTGGTCTGCATGTGTTCTGGAGTCTGGTCAATCAAAGCTTTGGCTCTGACTGTGCTGAGTGGAAGGATCTCCTCACATGTGGCTGACATGACTTTTGATGGCTKTTCTTTGGAAAACTGAAGTTCAACTATCTCAGGGCTGCAGATTCTCTCAGAGTGCTCCTCTGTGATCTTTTGTTTCTCCTGGACTGAAGATAAAAACGTGGCCACATGAAGCTGCTTTGTAGAAACAGCTGAGACCTCAGGAGGGTGGGCTGGAGCGACAGAAACTCTTTCCTGTACTTCATGTGATTGCAGAACGGCTGCTTGGTGGGTAAACTGTTCCCGATGAAGAGTAGCAGCAGAAATATTCAGCTCTTTGAGCTTTCCCACTTCCTCACTGGCAATAATCTGCCGATCATCTGTGCTGATTGTATAAATCATCTGATCAGATCGCACCCTTTCCTGGGATAATCTGTATTCTGTGCTTTGTTCAGTCATGGAAATCTTCAAATCTTTAATTTTCTGAACTAACATGGAATCTTCTGGAACTTTCTGGCTGAATACAAGTAGCTCAGCACTGCAGGAGACTTCTCCATAGTGGTTGGAGGCCTTACAGGTATAGATACCACTGTGCTCCTGTCTGACTCCTTTAATGTTCAGAAAGCCTGAGCCATCTGGGTTGTGCACCAGGATGTAGAAGCCACTCAGATCAATGTGGATGCTGCCTTTGAACCACTGAACCTGAGGAAGAGGGTCCCCAGTCAGACTGTATCTGAAGAAACACTCTCCCCCCTCAGACACCTGAACAGACTCCAGAGTTTTCAGAAACTTTGGGGGCTTGCCCAAAGTCTTTGCATCCTTTGGCGGCTCTGGCAGATGAACAAAGAGGTAAGAAGAGCAGGTCGACTGACCAAATCTGTTTCTGACTGTGCAGGAGTACTCTCCCTCCAGTTCCTTGTGAACTTTGTTAATGACCAAACTGCACACCTCTTCTTCATGAATGAAAGTATACAAAGATGAAGTGGTTATTTTCTGCCCATTGTGGAACCACTGAACARTGGGTTTTGGAAAACCAGACACTTTAACAGTAAACACAAACATTTCTCCAACAGTTGCAGCTGCTGGAGAAAGTTTACTGAGGAAAACTGGTCTTTCTTTTTTCTTCTCCAAAGTGGTAGAGAAGTGCTGAGATTCTGGTTTGAGTTCAAGCGTTCTGAATGTATCTGGTAACTTTATGTCAGTGTGGTACGACTCCTGGCTTTCTTCCTCCACTGTGACAGCTGAGCTGGAAATGGCTGAGTGAAACAACAACAGTTTCAAGTCAATCTCACATTTAAGCCTTAGTCAGCTGCAATGAAAACAATTCAGTTCAGTTCAATTTATACAGCACCAGGTCACAACATCCGTCGTCTCAGGGCACTCACTGTACACGAAAAAAAACCTAAAAAAACTTCCCTATGCAGTTGAGGGGAGTTTGACTGTAAAATAAAAATATCTGCTGAGTTTCATCCTTTAATATAAACCATATTGTGCTTCCATTATTGTTTCTATTGTTACATAAAACAATCATTTCCATCTCCCTAAATAAGTTTGATCAGAGCTGGTTTACAGGAAACGGTCCAACAGTGAGACCCGAACTGGAACAATCTGAGATGATCAACTCAAYTGTCATGTTGAATGAAGATGTTTTAAAAGCAGAAAATATAACAACTCTTGTTTTTTCTTTGTTCTCTTTGAAAACTAAGATTTCACCACAACTAACGGCAAAKATGTTTGAGTCATGAGATCAGACCTATGTGATGGTGAGCTTACTTCATGACATGTATCAYTGTCCAGCAACCCAAAGTTTCACAGACTTCTAGTCCCTGGGCTAGGCTTCTTTCTGTGGTGAGCCTGGAGGCCTGTGTTTGTTTGATGTCTGTTTCAAAATGACCCAACAACACAGGAACCAAACCACCACAACATTCACATGTTCATTCAGAGACACCAAAAATCTACAAAAAAATGAGAAATCTGCTTCAACAATGAAAAGGTAATCTAGGCAAAAAGCATTGTGGGCTTTTAGAGTCCACAGGAAATACAGTTATTCTCTGACAAAAACCTCTGCTACCTGTTAGAGTGAAAGTGTGGCAGGAAATAATACCAACATGTCTTTGTTCACAATGACAGCTGAGCTGAATGTACCTCGAGTTTTTACACAATTCAGGGTTTTCTCAGACATAACAACTTAGTAATACATAAAAACAAGTTCAAAGTTTGGAAAAGCTGCATTAACTACCTCATAATACTAAAAAATACAGCAAAACTTGAAATGAGACTATCTTTACCTTTCACGTCTGCCTGGGTTGCAGGTTCCTTCTCCACTTCAGCTACTGCAAAGACACAAAGTTTCCCAATTACAATAAGAACCATRACTGTGGACAGCGGAATCAGTGACAGGTCGTGCACCTGTGATGTTCTGGCATGCCACCTTTCATTCTCTGAGTGTGCTGCACATTCTGATCATGTTTTGTGCTTTGAGTGTCCGAATCTCTAAGARTGTTTTAGTGAGTAGGAAGACAAGTTAAAGCCCTGGAGGAGACATGGTGTCACTCTGTGAAGATGTGTCCTTCTTATGGATGTGTAAAACAGTGAGTGGGGGACAAAGACAGCTAGAGTGAGCAGAAGGGCCAAAAGCATGCAGATGATGCCAACCTTTCTTCACTGTGGTGCACTCAGCTTCTCCAGCTGAGCTTAGGTTTTTGTAAGAGTGAGAACCCTCCTGTTCAGGTCCCACATTATTAGCATTTAAACAGCAAAGAGTGCCGTCTGTTTTCAGAGAGTAAGAAGCAGAATCCTTGACATTCACATGGTTGTAAAGCCAAATGACAAAAGGAGTGGGGAGCCCCTTGAAAAGGCAGAACAGGGAGCTGCTGTCCTTGTTTTTAACCAGCAGCTCAGGGGGGAGTTTGATCAGATACTCGTGGCAGTTGGAAAACTGATGACTCCGCTCATCATGAGGTACAACATCTGGGAAAAACAGCTGGCTGATCAAGTTGTAAGGTCTCTGGGAAGACTTAGGCAATGGTCCCTTCTTCTCCTTGGACTCCTGCATGTCTTGGTCCGAGAGCTTTCTAGGACTCTCCCTGTCTGCGTGAGATGCTTTACAAACAGTATCGGTGGGAATAGGGGTCTCTGCTTTGAGGGTTGCTTCTTTAGCTGAGTGAGAATAAAGTTAGGGAGAGTAATTAAGGGTCAGAGAGTAAAATGTTATGACTAATCAATAAAGGTTAGTAGAATGAATGATGAGATTAGCAGGTGAAGCTGGCAGCAGCAGGAAGAGGAAAAGCTTCTCTACAAGGGTTGTTATTTCATTACAGTTTAGCAGGTTACAAACTCAGAGGAAATGTTAAACCATGAGGAAAGGGTCCAAAGCAGGGAGCGCAGATGGAAAAGTGGGATGGGCCAAATGGAAAAAAGAAAGATTAAGCACCTTCAACGGTGAGCCTGGCAGAAGAACTGTTCTGACCATGTTGGTTGGTGGCTGTGCAGCAGTAAACTCCCTGATCCGCCACACCAACACCATGAATGACCAGGGACAAGAAGTCCCCACTCTGAGAGCTCCTCACCCGCTCTGTGTCCACCAAGTGTTGACCATTATGATTCCATAGCACTCCGGTGAAGGGCTGCCCATCAAACGAGCAGCTGAACTCTGCTATCTCACCACTTTTCACTCGGACGTCTCTCATCTCCACCAGCAGCTTGGGTCTGGCACAGAGTTTGAAGCCAAAGCTGGTCTCCACAGAGCTTGAACTCTCCATCTGAATCTCAACTGTCTTCCACGATGCAGAGGAACTTTCAGAGACCGTCTCAGAAAACTCAACACTGTGGGCTGTTTGAGCCACTGACAGAGACCTGAAGCTCTCCTTGTGAGCCTCCAGTCTCTGAGACAGCTTAGTGTCAGCCTCAGTGCTCGACACGCTAGCTAAGACTGTTTCATCTGGGCAGTAAGAAAGAATAGAAGCATTAGGTCAACACAGCAACATTCTGGAGACTTATCTGGGTTATTTGCCAAAGTGCAGTGGGGTTGAAGGTTTGAGAATCAGTGAGGAAAGAACAGCTGGTTTCTGCAGTCAATCATGCAAGCTTGACCCGAGTCAGAACTTGAAAACCAACAGTGGGTCATGTCCGTGAGTGTGAGGTATCCAGAACTCCGTACTTCCACAGGTCAGATGTTTGGCTATGCTATGTTACTCTGACATAAAAATTCATGCCTAAAAGAAAGCCTACCAGGAGCTACGTGTGTTAAAAAAGATATCATGAATCAATCAGAAAGTCCTGTAAGATCAGGTTTACTGAATAATAAATAAAATCTTCTCTTCCTGTTGAAAGACCCGAGTCTTTCTGAAATGAACTGAAGAACATGCAGTCAATGCAGACTCCACTCTCACTGCTCTGTTTAGAAGAACCTCTGAGAGACGTGTTTTCATCTGAACTCACCGTCCAGGTGCAGAGAAGCAGAACATGTGACCATTCCTGCTGAATTTGTGGCTATACAGGAGTACTCTCCCTCATGTGCAGGGAGGACTCTGGAAATCTCCAACAGGCAGGTTTCATCTAAACGAGACATCCTGAAGCTGTTCGACTGTCGGATCTCTCTGTCATTACAGAACCAAGCCACCTGCACATCTGGAGACAACGTTTGGTAAAGTCAGGGAATTGTTAGACATGTGAAACTGAACAGTTAGTTTATTCACGAGTCAGCAGAAGGTGAGCAGTACCTTCCCCAGAGACGGTGCACCTCAGCTGGGCAGGATGTCCCTCTGAGACCAGGACATCTTTCAGAGGAGTAACCAGAACCGGAGCAGAAATCGGTGCAGCTTCAACCACCTCAGGAACTGAAGCAGAAACAGATTAGTTCTCTGCAGGTTCTTCCCTGTTGAAACTCAAACCCAATAGAATCATGCAAATGTCTCTGGACAATTGAACCATGATGGGTTCACATGAAAGATGTCTGACCTTCTACCGTGAGGGGGGCGGAGCTTGCGGCCTCCCCATAGTCATTTTTGGCCTCGCAGCTGTAGATGCCGGCATCTTCAGGGAAGACTTCAAGCAGCAGCAGTGTGTGTTCGTCTCCATCATGAAGGAACTTACATTTGAAGCTGGTGGACAGAAGCTGGGAGTTTCTGTACCAGAACACCTGAGGCTGGGGGAGGCCGCTCACCTGCACAGAGAAACGAACCAACCGGCCCGACATGGCCGTCTGGGGCTCCATGTGGCGGACGATCTGAGGAAGCTCTGGCACTGAAGACCAAACATGTTAGATCAGACATGCAGCGCTTCTCACAGGTAAGTTCAGAAAATGACTTGGTGAGTCCAGACTCTTCAACGATGCATGTCTTACATCTGACATGGAGGTTCATGGTGCTCCGGTTCTTGCCGGCGATGAAGGTGTACTCGCCGGCGTCGCTGCGGTACGTCTCAGAAATGGTGAGGCGGTGCACCCTCCTGATGGCTGCATAGCTGAACCTCTCCTCCTCTGATAAATGGATCTCCACACCGTTCCTCAGCCAGTGACCCTCCACATCCTCCTCGTTCACCTCAAACTCAAAGTTGGCTCTTTGCTTCTCAACAACCTGCAGGCAGAGAAGGTCCGAGGAGTTAAATCCATGGAACCGGTTCCTGTGTGAGGGAACATAAAGAGTTCCTGCAGCTTAAACCCACTGTGATGTCTCTGCTGACAGGTTCTGAGATCCGAACATCTCGTCCTTCCACTCCCAGGCTACCCTTGGAGATGCTGGACCCGGCCACGGCAGAGTACTCGCCAGCATCGGACATGCGGACCGACGGCAGGACCAGATGGTGCACAAACTGATCTGAGGTCATTTTGTATCTGCAGACAGTAAAAGGCAGGTTAACGAGGATTTAAAGRATTGTTGCACCTGAACAGGGAGGTGCATACCTGTCAGACATCTCCAGCTCCTGACCGTCCTTCATCCACATCACCTGGACGTTGGGCTCAGACACCTCACACTCAAAGGTGGCCCTCTTCTTCTCCGTGATCTTCAGGTCTCTCAGGTGTTTGGTGAATTCAATGACACGAGCTGGAGTTGGACACATTTTAAACTTCAACAGAAAGAAATAGACTCACACCATCATCAACATCTAATGAAATGGAAAACAAAGAGTAAAGCTGTGGGCTGGCTTCCTTCTAGTTTTTCCCAGGTTAACAGGTCATTCAGAGGACGTTGTACCTTCTACATAGAGTTTAGCTGTGGTGACTGCAGAGCCTGCCATGAAGCTGTACTCGGCACTGTCTCCAAAGTGAACGTTCCTGATGCTCAGAGTGTGAGTCAGCTGTTTGCATCGAGCCTGGCATCTGTCTGTGGACTTGATCTCCACACCGTTCTTCAGCCACTTGTAGGTGATTCCTTCATAGTTGACATTCACCTCGAATGTGACCGTGTCTTTCTCCTGGGCGTTCAGGTCCTCCAGCATAGTCGAGATCAGAATGGCTGGAAAGAAACAAGCATGGTGGTAAGTTCAGCAAAGCACTGGAGATTTAAAAAAAGAACCGAGAACTGATTGTTAAAACCAGCATGGTCATTTTTTAACTGACCTGTAAATCAAAAGCATTTCAACACCTTCCTAAAATAATCAGTCATCCCATTTTTTATGAGCTTTATACATGACTTGTAGAAAACTATAATCAATCAAATCATGACATTTCAATAATTAAAACTGATAAAACAATGTATTTGATGGATGACCAWAGCACTTCCTACTGATAATTCCTACAGCTCTTTTCTGTCAAATAAAAAAAGCATTTGCAATTGTTTTATATGTTTTTCCGCAAACTTTAATACAGTAAATTAAACAATCATTACATTATGCAATATACTGTATAGTTTTATTATTCAATAACTCTTTTACTTTATACAGTAATGCAACTGACTGCTATTTTTATTCTTTTATAATTTAAAGGAGATTTCCATGTCAGCTTTTCATCAGTGACACTTAAAACCTTCAAGTCACCACTCTGTACATCTCAACACCATTAACTCTAAATGAGACACTGACAGTTCTCTGTCTGTTACCAAATATCATGTAGTTAGTTTTATCTAAAGTTAATGATAAGTTGAAACCAGGCTTGTGTTTTCACAAACTCTCTCTGGATCATCTCTTACATTTATTTATTAATTATATAACCAGCTACTGTCATGCAGTGTTCATTAAATCATTTTCCTTCAGAAACAAACGTTTGTGGAGTGACTCTGAAGGTCTTACGGTTGACGGTGAGCGTGGCGGACACGCGGTCGTTCCCRCAGATGAAGGTGTACTCTGCAGAGTCCTCCCTGCTGGTGTTCATGATCTTCAGCTGGTGCAGTTTCCCCTGGACCACGAYCCTGAACTTCTCACTCATCTCGATCTCCACGCCGTCCTTCAGCCAGGTGGACGGCACGTTGAAGTGGGAAACTTCACACTCGAACGTGGCCACCTGGGTTTCTGGGACCTCCACGCTCTTCAGGGGCTTGGTGACTCTCAGAGCTGCAGGGAAATCATAAACTCAGAYGGTTTGATTCTGCTGCAAACCTTTAGTTCATAAAGTATCAGAGAAGCTGCACATTAAGTCTTACACTCAACAATGAGGTGAGCGCTGCACTGCAGGTGTCCGACCACAGCAGTGTACTCTCCCTGTTTGCTGTTGTCCACGTCCTGGACGATCAGTTTGTGGGTCCTCTTCTCAGAGAGCACGGTGTAGTGCTCGCTGCTCTTCAGCTCCACGTTGTTAAACATCCATTTCACTGGGATGTTGTCCTCTGAGATCCCCACTTCAAACATAGCTGTGGCACCCAGCAGGGAGGTGATGTCTTTAGGCTTTTTCAAGATCTTGATGGCTGGGAGAAAAGTGTTTTATAGTTATAAAAACAGGTTTAGGACTTGACTTCAGACAACCAATCTGCCAAAGAGTTCTTCTGATTTCAGAGACACTTACTTTCAACATTGAGTCTTGCATTTGCAGACAGCTTCCCCAGTTTGAACGAGTAAACCGACTCATCCTGAGTGTTGCAGTTTTTGATCTTCAGGGTGTGAACTGTGCCTTCTGTGGTGATTTCTATTTTCTCACTGGGCTGGATCTCAACACCATTCTTGATCCACTGTGCTCCTCTGACGTTCTCGTGGGTCAGCTCAAGGCTGAACGAGGCCTCCTGGGTCTCGACCACGTTCACGTTCTTCAGGGTCTTTTTGATTTTAACAGCTGTACAAACAAATGTCTTTATTAGTCAACGACTCAATGATTTATGTCACAGGACATCTGTGACAGATGTCAAACCAAATCTCTAGTCTTACAACTAAACCCGAATTTATAAATGTAAAAACATTTCAACAGTTATGAAAGAATCTGATGTTTTCTGTCCTTTTAAAAAGCAGTAGAAAAAATAATTCCAGTTCCACTTTGTGTTTCCACAACTTAAATATCCAGTAAACGTGTTTCCTGGCTCTACTTGTGTCCTTTTGAAGGAAACTGATTTAGGATACAACACTTAGGAAAGCAAGCCACAAATAAGTAAAAGGACATATTTGCCTTCACCTTCCCAAAGAGTCAATAAGTTCCTAACTATGTATAATTTAGTATTAKCAAGGCTGTGAATTTAAAGTCAGGCTGTATGTGTGAAAGAAGCAGCACTCACCTTCAACCTTCAGGGAGGCGGTGGTTCTGGAGGTAGCAACCTGATAGGTGTACTCTCCAATATCAGTGGCTCTGGTGATGATGATGACAAGCCGTCTCACAGCTCCGTCCTCCTCACTCAGGATGTTTTCACTATAATCAACAGGTTGGCCATCTTTCAGCCACTTCCCCTCAGCTGAAGGGTTGGCTACCTGACACTCTAGAACTGTAGTCTGGGAATCAGCTACAACCAGATCCTGCAGAGGTTTTTTGATGGCACCACCTGGTGACAGAAGAGAGTTACTCCATCAGGAACCATCACAGCATGCTCCCAGTGTCCAAACATGACTGACTTACCTGTTACAGTGAGTGAAGCGCTGCATGTCTTCTCACCAGCAGCAAACATGTAGTCTCCTTCCTCATCCTTCATGGCATTGATGACTGTCAGAGTGTGGATCTGATTCTTAGTCTCCAGCTTGTGCTTGGGTCCAGATTTGAGCTGTTGGTTCTTGAAGGTCCAGTAAGGGTCGATTCCCGGGTGAGAAACCTCCACTTGGAAGGTGACGTTCTCAGACTCGGAGCATTCTGTGTCTGTCATTGGCTTCACAATCTGCACAGCTGTTCATTCACAACAAAGAATAAGTCATCAACTCTTTTACTCTGAGAGCTGTCGGTCAACATCAACAGGACAAAAATATTTGATTTTAAATGAAGAAACATTGGGCCTCATGTAAGAACCGCTCATACGAATAGATTTGTTCTTAAATTGTGTGTATGAGTGATTTAGTAGAGCTTTTCATTCAATGTTGTCATGTTTTACCTGCAGTCAGTCTGCTGTTATCCAGACTGACCTTCTTGACTAATAACTTTATATTTTGTCATTTTGAACATATTTTGAGTTGAAAATAAATCACACTCCATAATTATGTTGACAATAGGCTGTGCTGTTTCAATTGGAATTATAATTTTAAATGTAAAAATGTACATTAACAACATAAATTGGTTAAAATAAATTTGCTATTAATGCAGTTGTATAACACTACAAYACTAATATGAAGATCTCAAACTACAAACCAACTTAAATTATGCAATAATTGAAGTTTAATTTGTCTCAGCATACACCGAGCTTTATGGATTAGTTTTTAATCAAATTTTATTTTGTTGACRTTTATTCAGCACATCAGCTTTGCTGTTTTCTCCAAAGTACCAGACACATTTTGGAGGCATTTTAAAAAGCTGTTTTCAGAACCACATCTGACACCACATGCAGGTGAGACGGTGGGGGACTGGCACATGGGTCCGGGCTGTGGCTCTTCTTCTGAATAAATGAAAATTATTTAACACACTTGTTTACACTTAAATTGGAAATATCTGACCAAAAGAAAAACCGGAGCAGAACTAGAGAGAGATGAATATGATTTAGATTTATTTCTGTGACTGTATACGACCCACAGGAGACAACATTAACAGCATCATTTCATTCCTTGTCTTTAGCAGCTCCTTTWATTCCACAGCTGASCTGCTAAAAATGACAGATTTTCTTTTCTGGATCTCTGACAGAYGGACTTCAATCTCCAAACTCATAAAGTTCTTCTTTTTTACTTTGTGATGTCCAGCAGGTGGAGCAATACCAGGCAGACCTAGCTTAGTGTGGAGCAGTAACTTTACACAGATGTTAGTATGTCAGGATTATTGGTTGTGTTTAATCTGGAGACTGAGACCTCACAGTTCTATTCTTCTACTCTGAACTGCTGTCAATATTCAGCTCCATTTAGTAATACAACATATTCTATCCAATGCTTATACTACAGTCCTTATAAATTTAAATGACAAAATTAATGCTTAACTTTGGTATTAAATATTTACTGTTTAGCTTAAAAGAGCAGATTTACCAGAAAAAGAGGTTACAACTTATATTAAACATATTGATGATTAACAAATGCTGTTGTGGTATTTTTAYATTGCTTAAGATGTTGGTGAGCTGGACGTTTGTCTACATGTGACAGCTAAACCTGACTTTGTGCTCTAACAGTTCAGACATTCATTGTGTGTTTATTCATGTGTAACTTACGCTCAACAGTTAATTTACAGCTGGTGTCCACTCGACCAACAACCATTTTGTAGCGTCCTTCATCCGAAGCGTAGGTCCTGGTGAAGACCAGACGCTGCTTGGCTCCCTTTGCCACCATAGTGACCCTGTCACTGGGCTCCAGAAGCATGTCATTATGGTACCATTTGACAGAGCTGATGTCCTGAGCAGAGATCTTGGCCTCCAGGACAGCCTTGGTGCCTTCAATGGAAGATGTGTCCTTCAGAGGCACCAAAATGCCAATAGCTGTGACACAATAAGAAAAACATACACTTTGAGACATTTTATTGTGGAAARCACCTTGTTTTGAAAAGAACTAGGGCCTAAAGGACCTACTCTGAATGGCCAGCTTTGCAGAGGTTGAAATGTCGTGATCAGGAGCCACAAATGAGTACACTCCAAAGTCATCCTTTTTGGCATCTTCAATCAGGAGTTTGTGGGTTTGTTTGTCAATGACAATATGTACACGATCTGAAGCTGTGATTGGCTGTCCAGTCTTCATCCAGCTTCCTTCAACATTCTCCTGAGAGAACTTCACCTCAAGCTGAGCAATGTCACCCTCACAAACTGTGAGGTCAGTCAGAGGCTGCATCAGGGTGACTGGACGCACTGCAACAACAAGATAAATAGAGTTAGTAGTGAAAACCGGAAATAAAATATGCAGAGGAAACTTAGAAAAAGCATTGGATTATTATAAGCCACAGTTTTCTTGGCAGAGCATATTTCTCTGAGCTAAACCACAATCCAAGTTCAACAACTTTTATAACTCACATTTCATCTTCAGAGTAGCACTTGTCTTGAATTCGCCCACTTTGAAGRTATATTTTCCCTGGTCTTCCTTCTTGACATCTTTCACTGATAGAGTGTGTCTTCCACGGCGGGAGGACATGGAGTATTTACCGCTGGGAGACAGAAGCGTATCTTCAAAAAACCAGGTGCCTTCAGCATCTTCACGAGATACGGCACATTCAAACTCCCCGGAGTACGTCTCTGGCACCTCTGTGTTCTCCAGCTGCTTCAGGATCTCCAGAGGGGCTCCTGTTCATCACATTATTCACACAGTACATCAACAACTACAACACAGCAAACACTGGGTAAAATAGTGTTCATTCAAACTATATGACTGCTATAAGATGCGTCCAAACGTAGATATGCATAACCCAGAGTCAGTTCAAAAAATTTAGAGTGATAAACTGATGCAAAATACCAAATGGCATAGTTACACCTGATGATGTTATGAGCTGTGGTTTTAGTACTGAACTTGAACCTTTCAGATACATCATCAGCATGTTTCTACAAGGTGCTGGTTTTCTCTAAACTAATCACTGACCCACCTTCAACAACGAGATTGGCACTTGTCCAGATGTTCTCATCGTCTATAACCATGCAGGTGTACTCTGCATCATCCCTCATTTCGATCATCAGCACCGACAGGAAGTGAACCTTTCTGTCTGAGTGCATCCTGTATTTATCTCCTGAGAAGATTTCCACATTATTTTTCAGCCACTTGACCTTAACAAAAGGCTCATTGGTTTCACACTCAAAGGTTGCCATGGTGTCCTTCTCTTTGGCATTGAGCCCTTCCAAACTCTGGGTGAAGGTAATAACTTGTTTTGCTGTCAGAAAAGTGTCAGAAAGATTTTATTAGAAAATACATGAATAAGAGTCAAAGATTAATGAAGTGAGTGTTAGGGTACCTTGCACCAGCAGGAAAGCATGGCTTGAAGTCTCTCCAGCTTTGCTGGAGGCCTTCACCATGATGCTGGCAGAATCCTCCACGGTGACATCTCTGATCACCAGTTCACACACGTGGTCYTCGGGCCAGTACCAGTAAACACGGTCAGACTTTTCCAGCTGAAYACCATTTTTGAACCACTGGCATTCTGGTTCTGGTCTACCAACGACTCTGACTCTGAACTTGACTTCATCGCCCAGTGAAACTGTCTGACTCGTGATGCGCTCCAGGATCTTAGGAGCTTCCATGCTGGGGGAGAGCTTGACTCGCTCTGGTTTCAGAGGTTTTGCTGTAAGTTTGCGGCGCTCCTCCTCCTTCTTCTTCTCAGCTTCCTCCTTCTCCTTGGCGTGATGAAGAAGCTCCTCCTTTGTCTTCTTCAGTAGATCTTCATAAGAATCATCYCTCTTACGAGACTTGAGTTCCACTGCAGTGATAGACTCATAATAGCCTTCCTCTGTCCTGCGTTTGAATTTGCTTCTCAGCTCCTCTGACTCCTCGGTGGCCTTTTCACGCACAATTCTCTGTGCCTTCTTAAGCTTGACCACCTCCTTCAGCTGGGAATCCTCAACAGGTTTCTCAGCCTTTACAACCTCAAATGGGATTTTTCCAGCCTCCTGAGCAGCTTCAGCTCCTTTAGCTTCAGGGGCACGGCGCAGATGAGTTCTGAAATCCTCTTTTTGTTGAATTTCCAGCTTCACTGTGTGTTCAGCTGAGCCCACAATGTTGTCTGCTACAACTTTAACCTCRCCTGAATCATAGGATTTGATTTCTGTAATCTCCAGGTAATAAATACCATCGTAACGAAGTCTGTACCTTTTACTTTTGCGGATGAGTTGTCCGTTGAGATACCAGTTAACCTTTGGAGCTGGATAACCGGTCACTCTACAACGGAATCGAGCTGTGTCACCTTCCATAATACTCACTGGTTCAGGTAGGAGGACAATCTCTGGTTTCATTTTCTCTGTTTCTTCCTCAGCAGTGACACCATAAGGTCCACCTTCATGAGCCTGGCGTTCCATTTCATCCATTCGGTATGCTCCCTTCCTGCCTTCAGGAAGCTGTGTCTCCTCAACCAAGCCCTTCTCATCCTTGATAACCAAGGTGGCYGAGGTCTGGTCCACTCCAAACTTGTTGGTGGCTCTACAGGTGATGACTCCACTGTCTCTAGCGTAAGCCACTTCATAGTCCAGGCTGCAGTAGCCGAACTCGTTGACCATGCGCAGCCTGTTTGCAGCAGCCAGAGGTTTGCCGTCATGCAGCCACTCAACCACCATGGTGGGGTCCCCGATGGGAGTCAGTCTGCATTCAAAGTGAGCTGGACCRAAATGCTTCATCCTGATGGATGTCAGCTTCTTCTTGAACACGGGTTTCTGCTGCTTCTCTTTGTCGTAAAGGTCACCCTCCTCCCACTGCTCTTGACCATATCGTAGGTGGAGGGGCTCCAGCTCTGGTGGGGTTATCTCTTTGGCTTTGTATGTTCCTTTGGGAATGATGAGCTTCCTCTCTGGTTCAGGCTCAACATAGTCTACCTCCACATTGACTCTACAGCGRGTGGTGTCTCTGCCAGCCCTGTTGATGGCGGTCGCGGTGTACCAGGCACTGTCTGTGCCGGCAGAGGATGGGATCTGAAATTTGGCCTCTCCTTTGGTTCCTTCAATCCTGAAATTTACATTTGTTGTTTGAGGATTGATTTATAATTTCAATCATTTTAAATTTGAATTGCTGTACAGATTAGTTGATTTATTTTAAAATCAAAGCAAATTCAAGTTTATAATGTTTATACAAACATTAGTGGTGAATTATGTTAAGATAAGGTTTAGCTAAAGATTCTAAATATTTGTACCTGCCTTGAATTATGTCTTGTTATACAACACACACACACACACACACACACACACACACACACACACACACACAC